CTGGGTAGGGGTGAGTTTAGGAGGAAGGTAATACTTTAAAGCGGTCAGAAATAAACTCTTGAAAGTGAAAAATGTCTGTAGCTCTCTCAGGGGCTCAGCAAGTAACTGGTGCGGCAACTGGGGGTTGACAGAAGATAGATCGGGGCCTCGTGCGCTCAATAAAGCCTTCCCAATGAGCCACGTCTATCCCCGTTTCCCCTGCAGCCCGATCCGTAAGCAGAAAAGTAATTCTGAGTTTTAAAATACAGATCTTGAAGGGAGAGAAGCTGGACGCGGTGGACTTCACTGGAGCAAAACCCAGCACAGCACCCACTGGTCAAAACCCAGTCAAAGGTCCCTGCGTACGTTTTCCCTTTGGAGTCGGAATTATTAAACAGTCCAGTTGGTGCGGGTCAGGTTTAGGACACAACGCCCGCCCATGCCAACACCAGGACTGCAGCGTCGCCCAGGGCTCGCCACCCTCCGAGGTGTGATCTCAGAAGAAAAGCCCCCGTGAGCCGCTTCTGCCGCGGCGCTGGCCTCCGGCTAAAGTAGCTCTGCGACTGAAATGGTTTCTTACTCGGGTGCTGTTGGCAGGGTACAGCGCACTCTGGAGTGCCCGAAGGCACTAGTGGAGCTGGTGGCAGGGGGAGGATGACTAGCACGCTCTTTTGTTTCCCTTTCTGTGCTTTTTGTTCCGCGCTGGGGCGAGGGAAACGCCTGGGATGAGGTGAGCTCGCATCTACCTCCGACTGCTTGTGGGAAATGGGGTGAGACGGAAAACTATGAGATTTTTGGAGGAAAAAAAGCCCAACGAAGCCTTGCCAGCTTGTAAAGAAGTCCTGAATGGGGACTATTTCCATCTGCAGCCAGGAACAAGTATTAAGAGGGGGCTCTGGGTATTTTTTTCTGAGCCAGTTTTCCTCTGCAGCCAACCACCTGCCAGATCGACGGCTGATTCCCCACCAGGAAAACCACAGCCTGAAGAGAGAAATGAGAGCGACTGAAGAGAGAAACGAGAATGACCTCAAAGAAAGGCCAAGTACTCCCCCGCTCCCCAAAAATGGGAGAACAAAGGAGGAACTTGTATCATCGTAGGGGGTTTGCCCGAAGACTGATAGATCTCCAGACACCCCGTTGAGCCGCTGCCTCACAGCACATCCTTCCCGTCTGCAGCCTGCTGGGAAGACAGATCCCCCTCCGCAGCGCCTACCGACTTTGCTGCGATGATTTTGAGGGTGCGAGGAAAGCTGTGTGGTCTGGGCGGGAGGGTCGGTACCCGCTGTTGTTCCATCGAGCGCCTTCCAGGCGTGGCACTTCTCCTGGTACACCCCTTCGTGCGGAAGGAAATTCATACCCAAAGCAAATTGACATCTATGGCCCCCTCTGTTCTACAGAAATAGCTGCCTGTAAACACAGCTGCGAAGAGCCTCCTAGCTCGAGTATCTTTAGATACATCGCTTCTTTCTACCCATTTAAGAAGGAAAAAACCCAGTATTTTCACCATATTGTCTGCTGAAGCGTGCTAGCCGTGAGAAGGAGCCAGGCTCCTGGCTCTGCCTTAAAGCTCCTCCAAAATCTGTGTCTCCTCCCCGGCCATCTTGATACCTTTTTTATTCTTCCTAAGAGGAGAAAGCCGACAGGTCTCTCCTCCATACTACCCCACGTAGGACGATTTGGCCAACGAAAGCGGCAGATTTGGCGAGCCTGAGAGAGTGCCAGCTGGATTCACGCCCTTCCTACTGCCTCTGCTTCCTCTCCATCTCATTTTCCCTCCTATTTTTCCTGCTGGCTTTATCAGTACCCAGGACCTGATGTATCATCGCGGGCCGCTTGAGTTTCCAGTGCCGAGCTCTTGTTTTGGAGCACCTCCAACCCTTTTTCCAGCCCCACCGGTCTCTCACGTACCGGGCACAGCAGAGGTGCCCGCAACCACGCGGTGAAGAGGGTAGGAGCACCAGAACTGTGGGTGAGCTTAGGAAAAGAGAGTGAAGGATTGGGGTGTCACTGGGAAAGGGCTGTTTTCCTGCAGGGATCGTTTCAGGAGGCTTTTGGCCCATTCACTGCCCTAAAATTTGATGGTCCCAGTTGGTGACCCCAGCACCGTAGTGATGTGTTGGGGGTTAGATCCTGCTTGGAGGGGGAAAACTGGGAAGAAGAGCAGTTTGGAGGGTTGGGTTCAGCCTTTCGCGCCTGGAAGGCTGACTCGGGCCCCCCCAACCTGCAAACAACCATTTGCACCTCTGTTTGGAGGCTCCAGCATGCTCCAGGCTCCCGCTTTCATCCAGCACCTCCCTCTTTGGCCTTCTCCTGCTTTTCCCTGCACTGATCCCCTTCCAACACCCTCCAGGCAAAAAAAAAACCCGATGTAGAAACGAAACTCAGCCCTGCTTGGAGCTTTCCTTCTCCTGCCCAGGCTTAGCCCTCAGCAAACATCTCTGCCCTCCAGGGCACGGCTGAGTGAAAAATAAAGCAAATACCACCCAGGATCAGGCAAGCCCACGCCAGGCGCTGGCACGCGAGTGGGATGAGTCACCTCCTGCCTGCTCTGCCCACGCCAGGCAGCTTCCCAGACCGGCAAACATCCACCGCCGGCTCCAGGCCCAGCACCGGGAGCCTTGACCGTGGCGTCCCCCCGCCGTGACGCCAGCCGATGCTGACCCTTGAAATCCTTCCTGCGCTGGGGCTGTCCCCTCCGCGGCGGCTGAGACACGACCTGCTGATCCCTCACCGCAAGGAAGCCCCAGAGATCCAAAGTATTTCCCTTTCAGATGGTTAAAGAGCATCCTACCTCTCCATGCCGGGGGCTGTGCTCCCCTCCCTGCTTCTTGCAGCTGGGAAAACGCCCTTTCACCCCAGCCTCGCTCTGCCCACTTAATTCCTCCTTGCCTTACACCCACGCCACTCTTTTCCTAGGAATTGCACCCTCTTTTAAACACGCTGGGCCAAAATCCCACGCAGGTAGCCTGGCGAACCCCTGCCAGCCCAGGAACAGAAGCACAAGCAGGGATTTTCTCAGCTCCACCGCCCTCTGCGGGCTCACACCACCACTTCCAGCCAGAGTACAGGGAAAAACACTGGCCACGGCCTCTCCCGGCTCTGCAGGAAACCGAGAGCCTTGCACGGAGCGTGCAGGCGGAAAGCGAGCGCTCTCGTTACGTTTCGATTCAATCTGGGACAGAAAACAATAAAAACAGCACGAGGGAAATTTTACCGTCTCACTTATGCAACACTCACTTCCTTGGCAGTGAAAACGCTCTGTATCCTGCCCATCCCTGCAGTGAAAATGCTCTTTATTTCCAAAAACTCAGTACTGATGGGACAGAACCAGTAACGGGTCAGGGCCAAGGAGCGGTTGAGCAGCCAGCACGCTGCGTATGGCCACCAGCCCTCCCAGGTGCCGGGCTGCGGCTCGGCCGGCAGCCTGCTGACCAGGTCCCGCCTTGCATTTTTTGGGCAAGCCTGATGAAGCCACGGAGCATCCGCTCGGGAGCGAACGTTGGCCCGCATTCCTGAGCTGGCAGCATCCAGCCGGCATCACGGAGCTATAAATAAGGCCCTTTGGAGAGCAACCTGCGCGGGGCCTGTGCCGCTGGATCCCAGCGCAGCCCGGCCAGCCAAAATCTCACCCGGGAGGAAGGAAAAGCATCCGGGAAAGACCTCCCTGCTGGGGAGATGCGTGGGGCCGTGCCACGGAGGTGGAAAGCAAACAACCACCCACAGCGAAAGCAAGGGGTTTGGGCACAAAAGCCTGGCTTTAGCCTCTGAGAGAGGCAGCAGACGCCAAGTGCCGGCTGGGAAAAGCCTCCTCGGCTCAGGAAAGCCTCCCCAGCTCAGTTTTGTCAGCACAGGCTGGTCTCATCGGTGCAGACAGGGAGAAAAATGCTGATAAGGGGATGCAAGACTCCTGCCATCAGAAAAAAAAACAAGTAGCGAGCAGCTCCAGACCCAGTAAAAAGTATTTATTTCAATTACAATAAGCCACAAATGTAGGGTGAAAAAATAGATACAAAAAATCCCCCCCTCCCCTTTTACATATAAATATTAAAAATCCCTCTACGTCTTTGCTTTCTGTCTAGAGCAGGAAGGCGCCCCACCAGACCTCTTGCAGCTCCTGAGCTCCTGGCAGTGGTTTTTTCGCAAAACCACAGAAGGAGTATTAAAACCCCCCCCCTTAAGAAAGCCCCTCATCCCCATCCCTGCCACATCTCGCTCCGGTGGATGCCAGCCATGGAGGGGACGGAGATTTGGGGTCACGCAGCGATTCCGGAGTTGCAGTTTTCTGGGCGTAGAGGCCAAGCACAGCAGCGAGCAGGATCCCCCTGCACTTGTCTGGGGAAGCTTTTGGGCTGGGAAATGGCAGCTGATCCCTCTTCAGGGGGGACAGGAGGGAGAACCGGGCGATTCATCACGCCTTCACCCCCTTGGCTACATCTTTGGCACGTCAACTTTTCCCTTTGCGCTCTGAAATTAAAGCTAATCCCAGGAGCCGCAGCATCCCGGCAGAGCTTTCTGCAGCCCACAGCAGCCTCCAGCCCCGTCGTCCTCAATTTCCCCAACAGCATCCTCCAAGGATGGGCCCTCCTGGAGAAACCCAGGATCAGAGGGCCAGCCAGTTGCATCCGCAGCGTGGGCTGCCCCATCCGGCTTCCTCAGCCAAGGGACTGTCACCACAGGGTGCTGCATCTACAGCTGCACCGAGTTAAAAAAAATTAATAAATATACTACTCTTTGACTAAAAAAAGGCTTTTAAATGCGTTTTCCCTGAAATTTTCCAGTGTATTCCACAATGCATGAAAAAAATATATGTATTTCCCCCCCAAAAAATATATTTTAAAATATTTCCCATCCTCATGTGCGCATCTTTGGAGAGGGGAAGGCACAGCGGGCGTATTTAGACATGCAGCCAAACCCGCCGGCACCGCAGCATTTCCCTTTATCGCCTCCGAAGAAGCTTTTGCCGGAGCGGTGGATCACGCTAGAGCGCTGCGTGTGTAAATACGGGGTAGTGCCCAAGGATGCACGTGCCTCAACGCACGGCCTGGTCATGGTGGGAATGAAAAGACCCCTGAATCGAAGTCGTTTCACAAACAAGTGAGCGGATGAGGAGTTTTCACAGTGGATCGAACCTCAGACGATACCGGGGACGCGGAGCGTCGCTCCGGCTGAGAGCTGGGCAGTTCGTTGCACGGAGAAGTGGTTTGAGCCCCTCGAAAAGGCCCAGGGAAATTCAGCCGTCAGCTGAGGACGAAGCAACCGGCAGCTGGTTCCCTCGGGCACTCGCCCATCACCAGACTTCGCACTTCCTGGGGGGATTCATGGGGGAGCCGAGGGGGCAGCTGAAATGCTCCGCAAACTCCCGGGAGTTGGAGACGGTGCCGATGACTCGGAAACGCGAGGGGCTGTGGGGGTCGGTGATGAGTCCCTCGTGTGAGCTCTCCGGTGTGCGAACCGAACACCACACCTGCAAGCAGAGGGCGAGAGGCGCGAGCGCCGGCGTCCACAACCGTAGGGCCCACGCAGTGCCAAATCGGACCTTCCCGTCTGTGTGACGGGCACCGACCAAGATCAAGCTCCAGCTCTGTCTCCATTTTTAAGGAGCACCACCCTGATCTGGTTCTCCACCCACCGCATAGCATCTCTGGAGACCTCAGTGAACCCTCCCAGCACCACCTAGGCATGCTTCCGCCCCGCAAAACCCTGCGCATCCACCCCCACTGCCCACCGCCAAGTGACCTACCTGGGCGAAGCCAACAAAGAAGAGCTGGTGGTTGGTGAGGCCGAGCGTCGGGAGGGTTTCCTCATCCCCATTCTTCTTCAGCCAGTTTTGATACGCCTGGAGACCGGAGACCACAGCAGGCTCGGGGGACAGCACCGATCCCACCACGCCATGACACCCACCGCATGTCCCCAGCCCCGTCACCCTACCCGGTAGGCAGCCTTGAGGCCCCCGTTGTCGGCGATGTTCTCCCCGAGGGTGTGCTTGCCATTGATGGCCTCGCTGTTGACGGTGTAGTTGCCGTACTGCTCCACCATGCACGCTGTCTGACGCTTGAAGGCCTCCACCGAGGAGTTCTTCCACCAGGGACGCAGGTTGCCGTCCTTGTCGTATTCCCGGCCTGCCAAAAACACAGCGGGTCTTTTTGTCACCTCAACAGCCCATCCCACTGCCCGGCCCTGGCCATACCTTGGTCATCGAAGGCATGCGTCAACTCATGGCCCACCACCACGCCGATCCCACCAAAATTCAGCGACCTGCAGGAGGGCAGTGCTGAGATTTAGAGAGCAGTCGCTGCTCCCTGCATGTAACGCAGCTTCAGATTTTGGGATGGGAGGGTATTTGGGAATCCTACATTCCCACATGCTGTCCCTAAGCTCTTACTTGGGAGACGCACGGGTGTAAAAAGGGGCCTGGAGGATGCCGGCGGGGAAGACGATCTCGTTCTTGGTGGGAGAGTAGTACGCGTTGACGGTCGGAGGCGTCATGCTCCACCTGCGGGCACACAGACACGGCCAACGCGGCAGCACAAACCTCAGTTTAACTCCCCAAAACCAGCGTGCTCTGGTGGACACCAAGTCCCACTGCTCCAGGCACTGTGCTGTTCCCTCTGAGTGCAACAGGGAAGTGAAGCGGAGGACTTACTGGTCCCGGTTCGGCGGCTTCCGGAGCTGGTCGGCGGTGACCCTGGCCGAGAAGTTGTAAAACTGCATGACGTTCTCGAAGTAGAGGTCGGACACGGCCTCATACTGGAAAAGAGCGAGGGGTGAGCAGTGTGCGGTGATCGCCCAGCCCCGCTCCTCCCTCCACGGTCATGTCTGAGCCTCCAGAACCGGCCCGTGGCTGAGTCGCAGCCACTTTTCTTTCTCCTCCTCCCCAGCATCTGCAGAGTCTCGGGAGGGCCATGAATCACAATTACGGCAAACAGCTCCTCCTCTTCCCGGGCAGGGATCCCGAGAGCCCCAGTCAGCCCAGAACTGAACCGCGGCTCTCCGGGAATTTCCCAGAGAAGGGCCAAGGACACCGGTGAAACCCTTCTGGAGGAAACCTAGGGCTCAAGGCCGCCCCAAGGCCATGGTGACGGGCACACGTCCCGCACACGGTAGCGGAGGGGGGAAGCAGGAGACCCAAGCGACATCTCTGACCAACTCACATCACTGAAGACTTTATCCAGCTCCTTGGGGTCCATGATGAACTTGGGGTAGCCAATCATGTTGTAGATAGCGTCTGCCTGGGGGGGTGACAAGGACCAAAGCGCTTTTGGTGCCACGGATGGAAGGATGGGCTGCCCCACGCCCCCGC